AAAAAATTTAACTTACGATCACAAGATTTACCGTCTTCCTGAAGAATGTAATCTTCGAGACATGAACATTGAGCAACTTTGTCCTGTAAATGGCAATTGTGCTGACAGCCTCCATTCTCGTCTTTACAGGCATCATACCCTTATTATTATGAAAAAAAATTTTAAATTTCACATTATGAAAACCATTTGCAAATGTTCAGTCTTACATTAAAAAATGTGTAAGTTATAAATTAGAAAAACATGCTTTTCAAGTCTTACATTAGAAAAACCATTTGTAATTTCAATATCAGAGAAATATTTGTAAAAAAAATTTTAAATCTTGCGTAAAAAAAATAATCTTACATAAGAAAAACAATTTGTAAGTCTTAGAATAGGAAAAAGGTTATATGATTTATTATTAGAAAACAGTTCTTCATTACGAAAACAATTTGTAGTTATTTTGTAAGTTATGAATTCGTAAGTTATAAATCAGGAAAATATGCTTTTCAAATCTCACAATAGAAAAACAATTTAGAGTTCAAATTAGAAAAAAAAAATTTTTTTTCATTTGGGAAATAATTTTTAAATCTTGCGTAAAGAAAACAGTTTGCAAGTCATCCATTAAGAATACAATTCATAAGTCTCACATTAGAAAAACAATTTGTTAGTCTTAAATTAAGAAAATAGTTTATAAGATTTACAATTCGAGAACAGTTTACATTACGAAAACAATTTGTAGTTCTTTTGTGAAATACAAATCGGTAAAAAGTTCTTTACTAATAAAAATTCCATAATTCTACTGAATGTAGGTAGATGATTAATGAAAAAATTATAATCATTTGGTAGAACATTATTCCTTGTGCTCCAGTGTCTGATAAAAAAATGAAAGAAAAAAAAAACATATAATGTGCATGCTGAAATATCTGTTAATCAAGTAAACATAAAAAAAAATTTCTTCCGATTATGTTTATGTGATATGATATGATGGACAAGGAAATAAATTTTCTAATCGGACTTTTAAAATGGATTCACACATAAATAATAATAGTTCAGATGATGTGTATCCTTTGTAAAAAATTTAACATAAAAATTAAAATACTCAATGATTTTGTTTGATAAAATAATAATATACATAATAATAATAATTTTTTCTTTTATTTCAAGTCAAAATAACATTTGCTGTGAAATAATTTGCTTTTGAGTAAATTATTTTTGATCACGTTTATAGAATATGTGTAAACTATGAAATCTGATTTCATGAAAGAAACCAAAAGTGAGTTTGTATAGTATTTTTAAAGAGGCTAAATATATGTAATTAAATTATTTTTTTTTTTTGCAAAAATTAACACTCATTTATATAACTTTAATCCTATTTTTTATAAATGTAATAAAAAAATTTTCGCGCTGGTGTGTATATTAAATGTAGTGCTAATAATGTAGAAAATATTTTATTACCAGCATGTAATATTTTGTATATCTTTGTAATATTTTATTACCGGCATGTAATATTTTGTATATCTTTGAAATATTTTATTAGCACTTCCATCTCCTATCAGTCGATCATTGGATCTCATCGAGTTAGGTTGCTTTATAACCGAGCTCCTGCTACAATGGCTTCGATTAGATTTGGCCGCGGAGGGCAGGTTTTCCGACCCTGCCGCACACTAGAACAGATTGCTGCTGAAGAAATGTTAGATACAAAAGAATCTTGAAGCTTTATTTGCGAGTTCGAGTAAAGTCATCAAAGACTTAGAGAGATCAAAACCCAATTCTGCTCCTGTTCCTGAACCGCCTACTTCGAAAGATATAGAAAAGGAACTTCAAGTGGAAGAGTTAAAGATGGATATTCAGATAACAACTCCGGTTGACTCAACCCCTGTAACAGATGAGCCAGACTCAAATTCCACCCCTGAGTCTGCTACACAACAACCTCCTACTGCTGTGAAAGAAACGAAAAAACGAAGGAAGAACGGTGTCAACCCGGCGACACCAGCCAGTTCTGAACTCAAGATAGAATGAGATCATCGCCACAACACCAGCGGAACCTGATTTAGCTAGGAGCCACTACTGAAGCCCCGGCAACTGTTGAGTGAGACCCCAGCTACATACCTGCCAACTTTTAATCCATTCGAGGATGATTTTCCCCAGTGGTAGTAAATTAGAAATTAAATTACAATTTTAGGCAGAAACTTATGTTGTGTTTTGAAAAAGATAAAGCGACTGTCAGGACTGTATTACATATTAATATATATGCTTTATTTTTTTGAAAATAGTGGTAGTCAAAAAGATTTTAAATTATGCTTATAAATGCAAAGAATACATAAAAAGCATGCATTTTACTACCGCTTTAAATATAGAAATAAAATTTTACGCCAAATGCGTAAAAGTTGGCAGGTATGCAGCTACTTCACCTGAGCCGAAAGATCCCACCGGCAGGAAAATCAAAGCCCTCGAACGTGGACTTAGCATTGACATCGAGATGGTGAATCTCGAAAATGAACTTTCAGACATTGGTCTTAGACCAATCAGAACAGAGCAGATGAGAAAGAGGCGTGGCCAGGAATTCAAACTCCTCCCCCTCTTCCTAGTCATCCAGACCGACCTTCCAAAGCACCGGGAAATCTTCAAACTGAACCGACTGCTGAATACACCCGTCCGGGCGCGGCCGCTACGCAATCCAGTGCAACAGGTGCCAAGGTTTTGGTCACACCCGGAAAGACTGTACAGATGAGCCAGCGTGCATGAAATGCGCAGGAGCGCATTACTCCTACCAGTGCACAAAGCCCTTGAACGAGCCTCCGACTTGTGTGAATTGCAAGAAAGATCACACATCCTGTTTTTCAGGCTGCCCATCCAGGCCTAGGAGAAAATTCGCACCAAAAAAGAAACAACACCGGAGTGCCACCAGCTCAGCTACCAGATTCCTGAATATTGTCAGGGAATTACAAGAACTCTTGAGAGACGAGGAGTTAGTTTCACTACTCCAATCCCTTCTCCTAGCTCCCAAGACTTAGACTTGGAAATTCTCCAATCAAGACGACCACAGATTTCCTTCCGTGGAATACACCTTTAAACTTTTTATGCCATTAGTCATCGTTGCTCTAGGGCGAATTCACAGATTAAGAGGTCTAGTGCCAGCTGACGCAGGCAGGTACCTTTCCAATCTACAGATCGTCGCCGTCCATCTCCTATCATATAAATTTCATCTCCAGATTTCGATCTGAAAAATATATTACTTATCTAAAATATTGGAAGTATCTTTAAACTGTGAATTTTATAGAGTTCTACTTTTACATCGTGCAAAATACGCTAATATTTTTTGGTGAATCTTCTACTTTTTAGTTAACAAATCCTATTGTGGGCAAAATTTCATATTTGCCCAAGTTGACTTATGGAAAATGTATTTTTAGTCAACTTTCGTCGATAAATAGTTTCCAACACTCATAATATAATATCAGCTACCTGGGTGTCCAGCTAGCATAACTAAAGAAGAAGAAGACTTTAAGGAAAAAAGCGTCAGAATGAAGAAAACTTACGATTGCAAGAACGTCCATCCTGGTCAAGTGCGAATCCTTCGTGACAATAACATTTTACTTCACCGTTCTCTGCTTCACAATAGTGTTCACATCCTCCGTTACTTTCGACACATGGATTGGTACCTTTAAATTAAAAAAATTACTTCGTACTTAATCATTTCATTTAAAAAATTTATAATTATTTTGACTACCACTACAAATAATTAATTTAAGAAAAATAAAACCTATTTGCCTGATTACGAAAGTGTGATTAACCGAGACTGTGGTCCTGAAATTTAGGTCGCTGTCGTCATGACATGTGAAAAAGAGGATATCGCTGTAGGGATCTGGAGAGATGTTTATCGTGGATGAGTGACGGAACGGTGACGTTGCCCGAGGTGTTGAAGAGGAAGTGGATGTCTTGATTTTGCTGACTGCATTTGACCATTTTTCCTTCGAGTGAGTCGTACCTTTTTCATTCTCTTGCAATTATGTCTGATTTTACTAATTCTGAATTGATTTGAGAGTTTGAGTAGTTGCAAATTATGTAAAGGTTTCTGCCTACAAATTGTAGTCATCAATTTACGCAACCGTACCGATTAAGCTGATAATTCAACTATGCTACAATGGCTACTTATCATCATCATGGACGTGGCGGTAAGCGGCTGACTGAAAGACATGCACGTGACTCAACGACGGATGAGGAATGCTCGGATTTTGAAACCAAAATGGCTAAAGAGTTTGCAGACATGGAAAGGAGAATTAAAGAAGATGAAATGAAAAATAAAGAACTACTTGAGAAATTAAATAAGTTGGAGCAGTCTCTCATGCCTGTGCCAAATAGGCCTGAAATGCCGATTGCAACAGTTGATGTCACTGACATGGAAATTTATGAAGGCGGCCAACTTTTGGAACAGACGGGGAAAGCGTCAACCATTGATTCAGAAAGCTCAACCAAAAATAACACAGAACCCCCTCCGAAAAAACGAAAAAAGAAGAAGAAAACGCAAACCAACGTCAAAAAAACGGAAGATAATCTAATCATGACTACAACAAGCTGCCATTCTTCACCGACAGATACCGCCACTTTCTCACCACTACCAGATTCTTGCTTAGCTCCACCCATGGAGGATTCAAATGAAGCTGCAGCTCCACCCACAACTCCAGTAAAAGTGCTAACAACCAAGCATATTAAAGTCTTAATTCGTGGACTCCCAGCTG